GGCGAAAAGAAGCTGGTCGGTGGCTCTGTGGAGGAGGGTGAAATTCGGGGTGTGGAGTGTAGGGAGCATACGTGTGGTCGTATTCATATGGAGGTGGGTTTTCACGTGCGTGGAGTGGGCGGTGGCGGCACACAAGTGCAACGTGTCCGGGTAGACCTTACAAAAAGCAGATCAGTCGGCTGTCGGCAGTGCGCCATGTATTTGGGACTCGGTGGACTGGAGGTTGTGGCGGCTGTGCGGTATAAACCGGAGCAGGCAATGGAGGTGGTGCTCGGAACGTCTGTGGTCGAGGTCGTGCTGTTGCTTCGGCCTACGTCAATGGTGCATTCACTGGTGGCACCAGCTGTGGGGGGAGACCTCAGACACTTGGTCTTGTATAATTGTCCATAGTTTAGGGCTAAGCGGTGCACTAATCTCCGGCTGGGCGGAGATGAGCGAGAGTTGGCGGGCAACTTCTTCGTGCACCAAATCTTTTCACTGCGAAAGGAGGAAGGTATCTTGTGAGGGAGTTAAGGTGGACATTGACTCTTGATGTGGGACAGCACGACGGGTGACGAGACGTTGCCGGCGGAGCTCATCATAGCTTTGGCAAAGCACGGTAGCTTGGGCGACAGTATCAGGCTTTTTAAAATCAGCATCTAGATTGCGTCCTCGTCGATACCCTTAAAAATATGCTTGATGCGGTGCACCTCAGTCATGTTCGCATCGACGCGTTTGCGCAAGTCAATGATGTCTTCTGTGTAACTTGTGAAATTCTCAGCAGGTATTAGTGATCTTGGCTGAAGGCGTTGCTCCGCACGAAGTTTGTAGACAGCATGTCGACCTAAGACTTCGCTGAACTTTCTCTTGAATGCTGTCCAGGTTGAAACGTCGGTTTCATGGTTCCGAAGCCACAAGTCGGCAATGCCACCGAGGTAAATGCTGGCGGTGGCCAGTCTCGTGGCTTCATCCTATTTGCTCAAGACACTCACGAGTTCTTAGGTAGCCAGCCAGTCGTCGACGTCGTGATCTTCAGTGCCACAGAATATGGGAGGGTCTAAATGACGGACCGCGCCGGAGTACACGATAGCCTGGAGAGCCATAGGTGGAGAGCTTGTGGCAGATGTAGTGATTCTTGCGGCAGGTAGAGTACGGCTTCGCAACTACAGAATTGGGAGGAGACCCAGCAAACTCCACCGAAAATAATAACGAACTGGGACAACCAGAACTGTTACTGGAGACCAGGTAGGATTGTAGGCCTAGCCAGCGAAAGCAGCGACAACATCCGAGCTGAGCGACTCGTGCTTAGCACTGACGATGTGGTCGCCGTGCTTTGCCTGACCCACTACTTCTTTGTTACATTACACACACACACACACATATATATACATATATAATTATAAGGAAAAGAAGTGTATACCTAAGGGCTCGTTTTTCCGTGTTTCAACACAATATTAATGAGATCTAACAGACAGTAATGCCAAGGAATGTACAAGGAAAGTTATTAGAACCAATCGAATGTACACAAGAAGAAAAAAAAGTGGATGAAAAAATAACCAGCCGTGAGCAGGAAACGAACCTACGACCTTCGAATAACGCGTTCGATGCTCTAACCACTGAGCTACCACAGCGGTCTTCCCTCCATCCACTTTTTTGGGTTTATATGTGAATTTAGAAGTAGGAGTGACAGTCAGCGCCATCTATAAGCCAAACGACGAGTGTGAAAACACTCTTTTGCGCATGTTTGACGTCACGTTGCACGTGAACTTATTATAAGCGGGCAGCTGATTAATTGTCCCTCTTATACAACCTAAACACACCAAGTCTGCCATTACGAGACCCTCGTTCAATGAAATATGGGAAAGAAGTGTATACCTAAGGGCTCGTTTTTCCGTGTTTTAACACAATATTAATGAGATCTAACAGACAGTAATGCCAAGGAATGTACAGGGGAAGTTATTAGAACCAATGGAATTTAAACAAGAAGAAAGAAAAGTGGATGAAAAAATAACCAGCCGTTATTTTTTCATCCACTTTTCTTTCTTCTTGTTTACATTCCATTGGTTCTAATAACTTCCCCTGTATATTCCTTGGCATTACTATCTGTTAGATCTCATATATATATATATATAAATATATATATATATATATATATATATATATGTGTGTGTGTGTGTGTGTGTGTGTGTGTGTTATAAATTAAACCCAGAAAATACTCTGGCGCGCGGAATAAAATTTCTGTTCTCTCAAACGCAAGTGCGCGGCGTTAATCACTGAACCACCGAGAAGCACGTCCTACAGCGTTTAATTGGCAAGCTATTTCTATCTGCCACTTGCCGCTGTTAACGGGCATTTTGGGGAGAGTTATGGTGTTTTCAGCTTTACCAGCAAGATGGCGCAATGAGCGCGCACTCTCATCTGCCACGCGTGGTTTGCACCACGAATAATAGGTAACAGACACTCACTCACGCACCGTTGTCTCTCGCGTTGCGGAGATCACGATGCGTTATCTCGCGTCTTGGATGTCCTTGGGCTTTCACCAGAACGATTCTGTTGTAATTACCGGGCGCAGAAAAGTCACTGCAACTGTTGCGTAGTCTCTGTTTGCGACAAGAGCGCGCTTTTCAGACACAGCGAAATACAACTGAGACGCTTATTCGCGTTCATCTGTACCCGTGAGTACATTTAATGCGTCATCTGTGCGTGAGAAACGCGGGGCACTGTTTTGATCTGCTTGCCATTCTGCGCGTAACCTTCCAATTTGTTGCTATCGCGTTCCTTGTTTCTCCTTTGCGGCAAACTTGTAACTTTTTTCTTCGTTTATTTTCCTATTTAGGACCATTTATAGTTGAGAAGGCACAGCAGAAAGGAGTGGGATGACCAAAATTACAGGTGCTCTCAAAAGCAAGTTACAGTGCATTTCGTTCGAGAAGCTTGAAATCTCTCATGCAAAGTGATGTTATGCCAGTGCCATGTAACAGGGACAAATCGTGTGTAGAAATACGTGGGAAGTAGAAAAAATTTGTCTCAACCGCTACAGTAATCTTGTGGTGATGATGCTTCACAGCTGACCCGAAGGTCTAGGAATTGAATCCCGGCTTCAGCAGCCGCATTAGGCGTAGTTGGGTAAGACCTGCGTTCTTATATTTAGGTTCATGTTAAAAAACCCAAGTGGACGGAATTTCAGAGCGCTCAGCTACGGCACCTTTCTGGCGTTAAATTATGAAGAATATTGATAGTGATTTGCTGCAATCTGTAAGTTTTTACGTGTACAAAGTATTGCAATAAATTTTGCAGTTCACGCCGACAGATTAAATTTACGCGCAGGTTGTTCTTAGCATTTACTTTACCGTTTCAATGTGCCTATAATCGTCATCATCATCAACTTGACTGCGTCTACTGCAGAACAAAGGTGTCTATCATGTTCCGCTAGTCAACTAGGTCCCGTGTTTGCTGGTGCCACTTTATAACTGCAAACTTCTTATTGTCATCTGCCCACCTAACTTTCTATCTCCCCCTAATCCGCATGCTTTCTTTGGGAATCCATTCAGTTACCCTTGATGACGAGCGGTTAGCCTTCCTGCGCACTACACGCTCATCCCATGTCATTTTAACTACGATATCCTTATTCCTAATTTGTTCCCTGATCCACCTTGTTCTTTTCTTGACGCTTGAGGTTACACCTATCATTTTCTTTTCCATCGCTTGCTGCGTCGTCCTCAACTTAAGCTTAACCCTCTTTGTAAGTATCCAGGTTTCTGCTTTTTAGCTCAGTATGGGCAAGATGAAATTGTTATGTTTACCTTCCTCTTCAGGGATAGTGGCAATCTACCATTTAGTCAAGATATGAGGATGCTTGCCAAATGTGCTTCACGCCGTTCTTCATCGATATGTGAGGTTTAACGTCCCAAAACTACTATATAATTATGAGAGACGCCGTAGTGGAAGGCTCCGGAAATTTATACCACCTGCGGTTCTTTAACGTGCACCCAAATCTGAGCACACGGGCCTACAACATTTCCGTCTCCATCGGAAATGTGGTCGCCTCAGTCGGGATTCAAACCTGCACCCTGCGGGTCAGCAGCCGAGTACATTAGCCACTAGACCACCGCGGCGGGGCGACTCCACGCCGTTTTTATTCTTCTAGTTGCTTAGGTCTCGTAATCCGCGACTACTACCTGCCCTCAGTATACGTAGTGTTTTAAAACTAGGCGTTGCAAAGTTACAAGAGTTCCAAAGTTTTAAAAAGTTATCGTTGCAATCTTCAAAATACCATAGGCAATAAATAAGTTAGGCGTTGACAAGTGTCATTTTCTGGTTAGTAACAGTGCGCGCAATTACCATGGTTCGAAATGAGCTCAGCCACTTTCTTGAAGAGGAATGGCTAAATATCTACTTAGGTGGGTGATGCGAATAAATGCGAAAACAGAAGCATGTAGTGGCGTAATAATCAGACACTACGCAGTGGGCACCAGATTAAGCCTACCCAATGAGTAACTCAAGCGAGAGGAATTGACACAGATTCCTAGCAGTGAAGACCACAGTAAAGCACGAGTAAAATATCAAATATAGCTATTTTGAGGAAAACAACGGCGTGCTGCTATGTTAGACACTTAAGTAATAATTAAACAGATTGCATTTAGTTTCACAAGAGCTGGTCACAGCAGAACTGTTCGGCACATTACAGCTTGTCTTTGCCCCACCTATACACAAAGTTTCAGTGGCCAGTGATCGCATGCCGGTCGACGATGATTTTATTTTCTAACTACACCTCCCGGCAAACCTCGAGCTTGGCAGCTATGTTGTCAAATGTTGTGATGGCTCACCATAAAGCCAATAAAGCCAAGCACTAGCGGGCGTTCACAATTACTAGGAAATCGAATTATCATGGTCTTGTGGAGCTTATAACTGAATTCTCCTATACCTATGCGCTACAGAAAGGTTAAGGTGCGTTAAAATGTGATGATGTGTTTTACTTATAATAATTTCTGAAAGTAAGTGATACACGTATTAAAACTTACGTTGCAAGGTGTGGCCACGTCAGCAGGACACCCGGCTTATTAGTGATTTTACGAGTCCAATCAGGCCAATTCACAAAACGAAAACGCCTTCTTTCTAGCCGGCTGTCAGCTAGTTCATCGCATTTTCTCTCTTGCAGGTCTTGACAGCAGTGAATGAAAGCTTGGCAGCTTTTGTTCGAGCTCATACCGGATGCGCACGATGCTTGTGAAGAACTGTTATCCGGTGTGCTCAGACGTCAGTGCTATTAACTTCTACAGAGAATTGTTGAAACAGGGCTGCGAACATATCCTGTGCGCAGATGCGAAAATTCTCATTCTGTTTCGCAGCAGTTGAACTAATATTATGTGCCCAGCTCCTCTGTCAGATTTGCAACGTTACAATCGTCGACAGTATGATAGTCCTCACATATGTTATGCGAACTTTTTCCGAGCTTGAGTTATAATTTATTTTTTGTGTTTGCAAGTACGCATACCATGCGATTTTCGAGGTGAAAAAAGTGGTCAATAAATTGATTATAATTGCTAATGTATTTAAGCAAAAACATTGCTGAAAAACACGAGAAGGCACGCAGGCTTATTGGAAGATCCATAACTGCCCGAAATACTTATTCAGGTACGTGTAATTAAGCGAAACCCTGTGTCTAAAAGGAGTGTGAAAAGTGTCTGCCAATAGTATAAAGACCGCAAAAATCCCTCAACAAGAACTTTACGCTGGCGGTGATGGGGCTCATTTTCAGAAAACTTACCCGAAAATGGCGCGCAACCTGCTCGAGCCACAGAATAACGACATCGTTGCGTTGGCTTTGATAATGTATCCCGAAGCATTGAGAACAAGGAGAAAATCAGCAATGTCTAAACTGTAACAATTCGTGATCTGATAATATTTGAGCATTTCAAATAGCCAATTGAATGGTGTGCACAATTCAGTGCTTGAAATAAATAGAGCGTATACAAAAAGTCGAAGTTTTACAGCGAAAGCTGTTCCGAGATCACAACTCGGATCTCGCGCAGCGCCGTAGTTGTCCGCCGCCGCTGCAACTGCCACCGCCACCGCTGTCCGTAACCAAATTATTGCGCGAAACGTAGTACCAGTGACACAGTTGGGCTCGAACCCGGGTTCACTGCATGCCAGCCAAGTATTCTCCCACTGTACTACGCCGGTTTTCGGGACTTGTTGGCAAGCTTGCCTTAAGCAGCCTTGATGTCGGGAAAGCAATCGCGTTAACACGACTTATAAAGCGATTTAACCCTTTGTAGGGCAGGATATGTTTTTTTTAAAAAAACTGAAAAAGGATGTCTTATTTTACTAACCAAGCCAACAGAAGTAGTTTGAAAGAAATTTCAAGGATGTACAACGAGTACTTTATTAAAAAAAACTGAGACACATTTGTCCCACTGGCGCTAAATTAAAATTCAAAAAATGGGACGCATTTGTCCCAATACTCTTTGAGGGTTCCGGGGTTACATTCGGGCGGCGTGAAAAAGTCCAAAACACGTTGAACCAATGCTCCTTGAGGGCTCCTTGGTTACATTCGGCCGGCATGAAAAGGTCCAAAACACGTCGAACAAAGGGGCACATTGCACACAGAACATAGAAGGTTGGTGCGCGCTTCTTTCTTGGCAGTCGAGCACCAACGACACCGCCTCCTTTTTGCAATCTTCTGAGGGTGATGTCCAGCTCCCAGAAATCGGACTTCATCAGCAACGCCTACCATTTTCTGGCCATGTTTGGCACCTTTTTTGTTGACTCGATACGGGCAATTGCTGGACCCTTTGAATGTTTGTCCGTTTATCAGCTGGCGACCAAGGACAAGCCGGAACCAAAGGTAGCTCATTTCACTGACTGCTTTCATTTGAAGAAAAACATTTACTATTGCTGCGTCCAGCAGAAAGTAAAAAATTCGGTACCACGACTTCTTCGATCGTCGATCCACCGGGTATGCGTTCCTTCTTTGGTCAAACTTGTCGACTCCGCCCATCCAGGTATTGTAGTCGGAGACTGCTTTTGGGCACTGGACGGATATAGATGAGCCATTAGAAAGCTTTCGAACAACGTCCTCAGTGTCGCTGGGGTGATGAAAGTTGGACAGCACGTGTACGTTTTTCGTGTCCCGCCACTGATAAGCTGTGATGCTCCCTTTCGCACGCCAGATATACTGTCCCTTCTGTAGCTTGTTATCCCGTTTGATTTCGTCAGGTAAGTCCTTGCGGTTTGGGCGAACCGTTCCTGCGGCCAAAACGTTCTTTTCTTTCAAGGCCTCCATTAGGCGTGTGGACGGGAAAAGGTATCGAAATATAGCTGCGTGCCAGCCTCTACTCGGTCAACGAGGGAGAGCACAACATGCTCACAGAGACCTACGTTCGCAGGTCGGTCTGCACCTTTACCTTCGTAGACCAGAAATTCAATCAGGTAACCTGTCTGAGAGTCGGCTCTGCACCACACCTTGTATCCCCGCTTGATAGGTTTCATTGGAAGGAACTGCTTAAGTGAGGACCGGCCTTTGAATCGTATCATACTCTCATCAATGGCTTGGCGCGCTGATGGAGTGTACTGTCTCTTGAAACTTTTATTCAGTGCAAGAATGAGAGGACGCACTCTTGCCAATCTGTCGTACCCTTCTTCACCTTTCTTTTTTTCCTTGGTTAGGTCGGTGCGGTGCAAACAGTTCATAATGGCTTGAAAACGACGGAACGACATAACCTTTGATATTTCAGGACAATTGAAAAAACTGTCACTGCTCCAGTACAGGTACATTTGATGTCTAGGGTTTGTGCTCATCAGCAGAAGTATGCCAAAGTATGCACGGAGTTCATCAATTGTAAGCTCTTTCCAAAGCTGTCGGCCTTTCTGTTTGGCAAAGCAGTTTGTCTCAGTCACCAGTGTGTTCATGATACCTTCGTCAAAATAAAGAGCAAAAGCTTCACAAGGTGTCGTCGGGAGATTTGCACTGTATTGTGGGTCCCAAATTTTTGGAACACGAATGACGGCATCCGGTTCGCTGCTATACCATGCCCCAAGCTCGTCCTCTTCGACTACTGCTTCGTCGCAAATTTTGGGCACTTTCTTCTGCCTCCTTTTTTTTTTCTTGAATAGGTAGCCTTTCGCTTTTGTGGTTTCCTTGTTGATACCGCCGCTTCGGCTTCACTGTTTTGCTCATCTGAATCGGGCGGAGCGAGCTCGGGTGCGAAGTCTTCATTTGTATCTCTGTCGGAATCACTCGACGTAGGGTCGTCAGGAAGGCTGAAATATAATTCCAGCGCTTCCTCTCGCGTCAGAAATTGTTTACCCGCGTTTTTACAAGCAAACAGAAAACAAAAGAATTGGTGAAATGTTTCACTACACATCGAATGCAGTCAGCGGTGGCAGTAGGCTTATCCCATCGTCATGCAGTTTTTGCCCTGGCACCATTCGAAAAAGCTTTTAGGAGTAAGTATTGCTTCTATTGTTGAAAACACCCAATTATTACATGCTGGAACTATTTCTTTCGAAGCACAGAAAAGGGAACACTCACTTGTCATCTTGAATTATTCTTTTCCGGAGACTCACAATGCGGAAATTTGTGCCGCTGGTGTAACAAAAAACACAATTTTTAAAATAATGTACACCTAACGCCACCTATTGTACAGCTTCCAAACGAGATTCAACAGAAGTGTAAAAACCTCAATGTAGATGGCAACACAGAAAAAATGGGCTTGATGCGTCCCATTGTTTTTCACGAGCACTTCTGTGGGGAACAAAAAATGGGACATATATTTCCCGTTGCCCTACAAGGGGTTAAGACAGCGAAATAACAAGTAGTTATCGCACATTGCGAATAGCGTACCGAGTGGGTAATCCAATGCTCGAGCCCATTTCAAAAGCTTGTTTTTGTTCAGCTCTTAACTGTGGCACATACCCACTTCACGCCTAAATCCTCATCCTCGTAGGCCACTGCAAGAATAATTAAACAAAATTCTTCGCTATAGATTAGAGAAAACCACGCTATCTCAGAATATTGACGAAAAATAGCATAGCGAATGCCCGGCTATCACCCAAAATTTGTTTATTACTATTGTCGTAGGGGGTACGAAGGAATTGAGCTTGGAGCAGTTACGCAACGAATATTTAGAAAAGGCTGTGAGAGGGCGCTCTTCAAGCTTTTGCTGTGACTGTGCCGGGTTTTCCGCGCAGGCCCGCCGCTAGTTGAATGCCTCAAAGCAACGAAAAAAATGAAGCAGCCAACGTTCAGGTTTATTTTTCATTAATGAAATAAATAGCGATAATTATGTTGTCATGCATATAACAAATAAGAAATACCGTTTTAATTATACGTATTCTCTCAACAACTGTCTTTTGACTGAGATTAACCAATATAATTGTTTGGGAGTCACAATTACAAGCCACGTAACATGGTCAAGCCACACTATTGAAACATGCTCAACTGATTCTAGCAAGCTCAGTTTTTTTAAAATTAAACTACAAACAGCGCCCTCAGAAATCAAAATGTTGTCCTACAATGCTTCTATAAGACCAAAGTTAGATTATGCTAGTGTCATTTTGGACCCATTATGAAGAAAAATATTAAAGAGTTTGGGATGGTGCAGCGAAAGGCGGTTCACCTTATCTTTATTGCCTACCACAGAAATGACTCGCCAACAGCAATCATGGCCGTTAATGATATTCCTACTTTACAGTACCTAAAAGCTTTCTCCCGACTGAAATTTCTACACTGACTTTATTTCCGTAAATTTAACATTAGTCCAGAAACCTATATAAGAAATCGAATCTCAAGACAAAGTAGACATACGCATAGTTACGCTCTTGAAACTTGCTTCGCACGTACTAATCTTTTCATGAACTCGTTCTTTTCTCGGACGATCAATGATTGGAAAGCGTTACCTTTTGAAGCATTCTGTGATAATGAAAATCTTCACTTCAATAGCTATGTATCTTTCCGTTTTAAACGGTACAACTCAAAATCTCCGACTGTCTCACGTTGTATCTGATTTGCATTCTCTGGTTGCAATTTTGCAATTTTTTGCTGCCATTTTACTTTGTTAACATGCTTAACAAGTTTTATTGCTTGAACATGTTTATTGCTTGAGTTAACATTTTTTATTGCTTGAACTTTCTTTCTATTGAGGTTACATTGTGAATCACTTTTTATTATGCACACCTGCTTGGTCTTTGGACCACCGTATTCTGTAAATAAAATAAATAAAAAATAAATAAATAGGCTTCCGAAAATTGTGATTTATGAAATTCTCAATTTATTTTCTTCAACTGTGGCTTCAGGCTTTGCCTGAATATGCTATGATCTTTTGATGTCGCAGCACAGAAAGGTTCCTTTTAAAATATAGACAGTGGTCTAAAACTCGAAAGCACGTGTAGAAACCGAGCGTTGCCCACTCCCATAGGTCAAGGGGCAAGCCTTGGTTCACGCAGGCCTTTATTCACTTGGGGCGTTCTCCTAGTCGAAGTCTCTTTTCTTGTTTTTTTTTGTACCCTTTTGCTGAATTCCATTCTGCACCGTTGTCTCACCAGTGACCTCCAACGCCAGCGTTGCTCTCGCTGAGTGGTGCCGAATTCTTAGACTCCTTAGATTGTATCCCACTTTTTACTATATCTATCTTCTTTCTGTCGCTACTGTGCAAAGAATGTTCTTTTAGACGCGAAACAGCTCTTTGACTAGCCTGTGTGGCACTGCCCTTCAGTCCACACCGCTCCCCTCACGGCAAGTGCTGGAATGGTGCCAACTAGCTCACGCCCTCCTTGCAGTGCCCAGTGACGTCTCTCTTCCTCACGTGCCACGCGCCCACCACGCGTCAGCTTTCTTTAGCTTCAACCAGGTAAACGCCATGTTTCAACCGGGTAAGCACCATGTTCACCGCTGCTGCTCCGCATTCCATCACGGTTCCTTTCAGCCACATGGCTCATAATTTTTGTTATCTTTCTACAGTTTCTTTATCCACAAGCTCCCATCCTGTACAAATCACTGCGCCATGCCGCCAATTGGGCAGACAGAAACTACGTGCATTTTTCGCTTGTTCAAAAAACCACGCATTCATTATACGTTTTCTGCTATTCTCTCTTCTTACATGCCACGTGGAGCGCCACGGAGATGCTTTCTTGAAGCTGAAAACTACGGTCACGAAGTATGAAGCTATATTATTCTAGAGTGTTTTAAAGGTCTCTCAACCATCAGTGTGATAACGTTAAAGAGCTTGTTGTGCACAAATTTCTACGTTGGTGTCTACGTCGGCGTCAGTGGTTGTGAGCCGAAAATCACCATATTTCTTAAATAATAGATGTATAAAAATGCATGTATGATAAAGAGCCTCACAAAAGCCCCGGCCAATTTTCCTTTTTGTATTGCTTTCAATAATAAATTGTTTTTTTATATACAGTTTTTATAGCGCTTAAGTGTCTAGTGCACATACCAGACACTTCTTTCGTTTTTACGCCTTTCAGTGAAAGCGTTGAACATTGTTTTTGTAAACGTGTCACCACTTCGCTTTGATGTACAAGATGTTTTCGTATATTTCAACGTAATGCCGTATTTTTGTCGCCTGTTGACTTTTTTTCTGTCACCTTGTAAATCAGCTCCTATCAAGTTCAAGTGGCTTTGTAATCACAATGTCACTCATCTGCTCCTGACGAAGGCCATATAATTCGCGTCAGAGTAGTCAATAAGTAAATAAAGAGATACATGAATAAATTATTTTCTACTTCTCATGCGGATCAAATTCATGCCCTCTGCGAGGCCAGAAGGTTTGCACCCTAAATGGACAAGGTTTGTTCAAATTGCTTTAAAACAACCGTATGAAAGTCACGTAGTGAAAGTCATCTGAGCGCATCATATGTTGCGCTCAGACGACTAGAACAGCTACAAGAACCAAACCATGGGAATTGAACCACTAATTAACATTTTAAAGGCCCACCCGATACAAACCACTTAGACATATTTGGTCATCACCAGTAGAAGAACCACCAGCGAAAGGAACAGCTGCGTAGGTTCAGGTGTTGCCCCAGTAGGGCGACGGGCGTCTTTTGGTAAATAAGATAGGAAACATACTTGCGAATGCTATTAAGTGATATTGCATATTATAAACATAGAATAGCTTTGAACAATCAGATTATACCAGTAGAAGAACCACCACCGAAAAGACCGCTGCGTAGGTTGAAGCGTGGCCCCAGTATGGCAACATTCTTGTTTTGGCAAATAAGACAGAAAACTTACTTGCGAATGATAATAAGGAATATTGCATATTCTAAACATGAAGTAGCTATAAAAAATCAGATTACACTTGAATACCCTACAGCATCGAAGAAATGAAATAGCGATTGCCCAGTTTACTTGTTGGTTTAATGGGCAAATGCAACAAAATTGTGCACACCTTAAAAGCCAATTTAGAGGCAGTCCATCTGGAGAGAATACTACCGGTGTAATGTTACTGTTGAAATGAAAGTAGTTACCTAATAGCAAAACTCACCAATAGCACAACATTTCTACTGAGTGTAAAAAAAACGCCTTTACATCTGACCGGAAGTGAGGTAGACAGCAATCTAAAAGAGTGATCAATGCCGCCGAATTGTCTGCTCTGTAGTTCGAAGTATTTATGTTTTGATGGTACCGAAAAAAACAATATGAAAGTAACGCATGTGCAGCATACATAGTGATAAAATTCCTTACAACATCTCTAAATAACAGCTGCCCACTTCGCGCCGACGATATTGTACGGCTGTCATAGAGGCCTCACTGGTTCATACTTAATTATGTGGTTTCGGCTGAAGATATTGTCGCTTCGTTGATAGAATAGGGATGGTTAAATTGCGTTGTTTCGGATATCGATCTTCAGTTCAGCTATAGACTGAGTTGTACAGAATACATTCCTATATTTCTGCACACA